AAAATAATGGCCAATTTCTTTTCTCACTATACCTTTATTATGATGATGTAAGAAAACCTAAACCATCGTTTGTTCTGAAAATAAACTGAAATGTAATGTCTAAAATATATAAAAAGATTTTTATGAACAAAAAAACAAACACATTTTTGTTATAATGGATAATTGAATAGACCGATCAAAACAAAAATGAAACGAAACACTTATTTTACACAAACAAACAAACAAACCGAATTTTTTTTTTAAAAAGTGTGATTGAAAATGTCAGACATCATTCTATTTGTCGGTCGGTCGATCAATTCGATTCGATCGATGATTATCTTGTTATGTTTGTTATTAGGCCTCTCTACTGATGATACCAATGATGATGACAGATCTTAATAGACAAACAAATAATGATAAGATAAATTCAAATGTCAATTACGGCAAAAAATTACATAGTTACTTTTGATATAATGATAATAATGATGTTTGGGCAATGTTTTTTTTTTGATATATCAATCAAACGAAAAATGGATTGATGTGTTTTTTCTGTGTTTACCATTCTGTGATTTGATTTTTGATCGATTGACTTTTAAAGATGGATACTTGGTTGATTGCATCATTTATTTTTAAATTTTTGATTAACAATGAAAAAAAAGCTTCAAATGTCGAAATAGCGGCGCCACAGCCGTCATGGTTAGATTGACATCGATCAATCGATCGATCGATTGATGATCGGATTCCAATTAAAAAAAAAACTAAAATCAAAACAAACAAACAAACAAACAACCAGTGCAAATAAAGAAAAATTCAATCAAAAATTGACAATTATTCAACCATATAAATTGTTTGTTTTTTCAATGGTTGATGGCCAAGTTTGATCACAAGTTTGCACCCCGAAAACACAGAAAGAAAGAATTTTCATTTTGATTATTTGAAATTGAAATTTTGTTAAATTATTTTGCTACAATTTGGTGATGAAGATGATTGGTACAACAAATCAAACAAACCAAACAAACAAACAAACGATCAAATCAAATCGATTGAGATTCAATGAATAAATCAATTTCAATGAATCAATACGATTGACATTATTATCATCATCAAGATTGATTTCATTCGCGGTTGAATTGTTATCAAATGTTGTTGTT